TAATTTTGACGCCAGCTCATATGATAGTCATCAGGGGGTGTCCCACTGATCTGAGAGGTAGTTACGGAGAGGATGCTGACTATGTTGTAGGGTGTACAGGGCTAAGGGTTTAGGGCTTAGGGTGTAAGAGGCCAAGGACAAATATCTGTTGCGCAGGAGGAGAAGTCCTCAGACACAGACCTATCTCAGGCGTGTGAGACGCCTTTGGCTCTTTGCATTGAGGATATTGAAGCGCCCAAGCCCTTGGCAAGGTGCTATTTCGGCTTGCAAAAATTGAGGTCCCCATCCTGTCCCCGAAATGTTCCTCGACTATTTCCTAAACTCTTGGTTGCTCGAGAAGGGAGCTATGCTTGTGGAGGAGTACATCCATAATCTTGCTACAGTTAAGACGGCCTTTTTGCGAACAGCGGCCATGTCTCAACATAGGTCCCTCAATTAAAGCTATAAGAAATAACAAGAGGGCTTTGAGGGTATCACCGAATAATTGGACCCTCTGAAAAGGACCCTTGCAGGAGACACCCATAATTTCGAGAAACTCTTTAATCCAAGTCGGGATAACATGCCTAGTTGCTCAAATTGCTACAGGCCCCAAGGTTTGGGCACTGATGTAATTTGAGGCGCCCCAAAGAAGGGGGACTTGGATGCTGAGACAAGTAATCCCCTCCCTCTAATATTAACCCCCCCCCCCACCTCACACATCCTCCAACCCCCTAATATTAAATACTCCCAATATCCCAATATACTATAATATGCCACAACGGGGGGTATTGAACATTAGGGTGAGGGGATTGGCAAGTTCCCAGGCCTGATGACTTTTCCACCATCCTGGACATGGTTGAGAAGCAGCAGTTCCTAGATCGCAGATTCGAATCCCTCTTACGTTTTTTTTATTATTACATTTTTCTTGCTTCGCATTCCTGGACGTTGTTAGCTTCCTGTTTAGATGTGGTCATTTCTACCTTCTCCGGATGTGAGGGTGGAATTTGCCACATCTACCCTAAACCCTAAACCCCAAAGTAAAATCCAGGTACCTAGAACTCATGGAGCATGACCAACTGCGCCTCTTCCGGACTGCCCAGAAGGCGTTCGTGGGCTTCCAGGAAGGCAATCCCAACTTTCCACCGACCTTCAAAGTCGAAGCTGGGATGGTAACGATCAGCATACCTCATGTGATAAAAGGACCTTAAGGGTCCAAGGACCCAAATAATAGGCTATTAGGGCCCAAATACCATTCATATTACAGTATTTGGGCCCAAAACCCCTATTATTTGGGTCCTTGCACCCTCAGGGAAAAGGATATCAAATTAGAAGCTGAAGTGCGGTTTCGGGTTCACTTTTAGGGCTTAGGGCAGAGTTTTTTCAGTTTCAATGTTTAGGGCTCCAGGTTAAGGTTTTTGCGATTCGTTTCTTAGACAGCGGCTCGCATATTGGTTGATTCAAGTTTGCTTTCAGCGGTCCGCGTCTTGCTTGTTCCGCTTCCTTGGCGTCTCAACAATGCTTGAGCAAAGCCGCCCAGCCCATCCCCCCCCCTGATATATGTAATCAATCTTGTCTGGGTCCTACCTCATCTCAATATGTTCTCTTGGAGGTTGGGTTGTTGTAGACAACACTTCTTGATTTTTGTGGTCTTGGCGCCATTACAAGAGCTTTTCACGAAATCAGGGTCTCACCCATTAGGCGACCCTTCCCAAAGGGATCCATGATTTTGAGAAACTTCTTCATGTCACTGGCCCAGGAAAGAGCTCCAGGCATCCGACACCAAGAGGAGAGGACCCCTTCCTACTGCGACCGCATTCTCTGGAAGTCCTTGGAATCTTTGCAGGGCTGCACTACCCAGCAGAAGCTGGCATCTCCCAGTGAGGTGAGCACCAGCGATCACAAACCCGTCTATGCGCAATTCACGGTGAAGACGCCGAATGCTCTCGGGCAGCTTTTCCAGAAGAAGCTCTGCCCGGAGGCCTTTCCAGTCGTTCGCGTCAGCCACCTGAAAGCGCGAGATGTGCCCTCGGGCCCAGGTGCAAAGTTCCGAGTTGTGTTTGTAGTGACACCACTGGAGCTGAACACAACGAAATATGAGAGCGGAATCAAATCGATGCGGGAACCCGCATGGAAGGCTGATGACTTGCCTTTACTGCGGCCTGCAGTGACATGTCAGGAAGAACTGAACACTTGTACCCTCCTGATGGTCCTGTACAACAAGAATGTCCGGCTGGGTTGCGTGGGCTTGCGCTTTCCTGGATGTGACCCCTCCCACGTAACATCCAAGCAGCGCATCTCATACGATTTCCATGCGCCCATTGTGAACAGGAGCTGTTCCTTCGCAACAGGCCATTTTTCCGGGACGCTGGATGTGAACTGGAGTGAGGAAGCCATTCATGCTGCGAACCAAGCAGCAAGGCTCTCCACCCAACCACGCCAACAGGCCTGCTGTATCCTGCAATGAGATGCCCGTCAGCAAGCCGATACCGTCTCCACGTCAAAGTGGGCACAGGTCATAGTTGAGGTTACTAAGGTTCTGGCTCTTTTTCGACGCATAGCTTCAGCCGCAGTCTCACACTGTACAGAGCGTTCTACGCCCATATTCGCTTTAGCTTGGCATGCTGCCACAAGTGGCTGAATGCTAGCTTACCGAAGCTAGATTCTGCAGCAGTTCCAAGCTTACAGGAAAGCCTGGGATGGAATCGCAGCCTTGCGCTAGGGTAGATTCAGACACAACCTTCAACTCCCTCTTCATCCGAATCCCTTCATGTGATCATTACATGCTGGAAGTAGAAGGCTCATCCACTCCCCTTGAGAATAACCCCCTAATAATGGCTACCCTTCCCCATGACATTAGGGTACTATAACAGATTTGATATTACTGTCAGAGGGAGGAGATTACTTTTTGAACTGCCTGTGCCTCTTGGAGGGTGCCCTTTTTACATGACGACCTTGTGCTTCACGGTTACGAAGCTTTGGCCGTTGCCATTGCTGTGCTCGCATCATGGCTCTTTTATGGCCTATTGTTGCCTATTGTTGCCTACTGCTGCTTGCATTATTGACCGCCTGCTCATGTTGAGTTCGCTGCTAATTCCTTCAGATCTAGTCAACTACACCTTATTGACTCCTGCATTTGCTCTTCTTTGGTGCTGCTTGATTTAGTTCGGATGTCCATGCATCCATGTATCTCATCTCCGTTCTTCGCACATGTTGAAACACGCACATAAGCTTGGAATCTTGATTGTCAGGGGAGGCAAGAGACTAGTTGCTGCAGCATCGAGCACCACCTTTTTCATTCCAGGCCTCCCTATTCCTTGCCTTCCCGGAGCTACAAGCACCCAAGGCGTCTCGCACGTTCCGGAAGACCCATTTACGGTGAGCTCACAGGGCCACTCAGGATCTGTGACCTCGTTCAGCCAAAACGCGTCCAGGCCTTCTGTGAGGGTTCTCAACACTGCGCCCTCCCAATACCAATCACAGTATCTTCCGTATGTAAGAGAACCCTGCTAGACTTACGCATACTGCGGGACAAACTGGCATGAGCCCAGTAGGGATGCTTTCGGCTGCAGTTCTACAACACTCGCAACCTCACAGCGTTGCAGAGGCTAAGCAAAACATTCGCGGTAGTCCCCTCAATATCTGTGTAAACCGTCAAATTTTGGGTGCAAGCAGAAGCTGGCAGTATTTCGCGCCATGACGATCTCCCCCGGCTTCTCACTCCAGTTCGGGCTTATGCGTTCAGATTTAGATTTGGGCTTTACGGTGCTTCTGCTTGTTCAATACCTCGAGTAGACTAGGCGTGAAATAGGCTGCCCCAATACAGACACCAAAATACTACAAGGCTTATCATAGGTAATTACCTGAAAGTTATTAAACGCCAGCGTTTTCCGAACTTGACTTGTGGTAGTAGGTTCCTTGCATGCCCCAACTTGAAGTAGTTTGCCTATGTTTGCCTAGGCTATAGACTATCACAAGTTACCCGAAGCCCTCTGCTCTAGTGGCTTACATACACTGGTGGCCCTTACAGCATTGCGTCTTCGTTAAACATGAGTTCAGCATAAAGGTCTGAGAGGATATAGGAAGCTGAAACGCTCTTAAGAAAATGTCTCTAGGGCGTATGGGTCTCCGGGACTACAACTGTATGAAAATGTTGTGTGTTCTTTTCCTAGTCTAAGCAAAGAACGCGAACCCTAAACGCTGAACACAATACATTGAGGAGACGAGATGTCCTCTTTGCAACGAAGAGCTTCTGGAGGCCAGCGCGACACAAATGGAACTCAAAGGGTTGATGTAGAGAGAGGTTCCGGGGATAGCATGGAGGTGGGGCATCATTGGGGCTTTAGGGTCTAGGGTAGTTAGTTGGCTGTCCCTGTACTCAGGAAGTATACCCTTGAGCCCCTTAGAGATATAATCAACCTGGGTGCCACTCGACGACAACGGAGATTCCCAGCCAGATACTTAAGCGGATCCTAGGATGACTCCCCCCCCGGCTCTCACTCAGTGATATCGATATTGGGTACGTGGGGATTGTCCTAAATTACTGTCAATATGGGGTCCTATATTTAGGTTCCTATTATAATACGGGGCCCCTATATAAGTTTCCCCCATTTTGGAAACAGTAATTTAGGGAAACTTCCACGTACCTCAACAGGTGTGGATTCCTCTAGTAAACGTTCAGTCGAAGGAGGTTGAGGAGTAAACGTAAGCGGGAGGAAATTTCGGGACCTGGCGATTCGCACCTGTGCATGACTCAGACAGCCGCGTGTTTGCGGGCGCACCTTCCTTTTGTATCCATGCTTCGTCTCCTTTCACAATGCATGGAATCAGTAATATAGGCAGCAAAACCTATATGACGTTATCCTTAGGTGGTCCAGTCCTCGTAGTGAGCATGTGAATACTTTCAGGTCAGCAAGTCTTAGGAACCTATGCTTATAGACACCCCCAGCTATAGAATGATCCGCCTATCTCCACGATTCACCTATTTACCTACTTACTACGCCACCCGACTCTGCACCTTAAACCCGAATCCTCAAACCCTAACCTACCTACTAAGTTGTCCTTTCCATTCTAACGCCAATATTCTACCCTATTATACTATAATAGTTTCCATGTTCATTTCCATTATCTTTTAAGATTACCCCAATATATGCCCTATAATCCCTATATAACCCCATATAACCCAAAAAATCCCTATAGTTTCCATGTTCTCTTCCATTCTCTCTATATGAACCCTGAAACCTAAACCCTAAAATCCTAAACCCTAAAACCCTAACACCTTAACACCCTAAACCCTAATATTACCCCAATGGGTAAACCCCTTTCCTGTTATCCTTGGGCTCCAAGTAGAAGCAGGTTCTGCTCACCAACAAGCGCGATGCATCCTTCGATCCGAAGGAGTGCCGGTGAGCATTTAGGGTTTAGGCTTTAGGGTTTAGGGTTTTAGGGTTTAGGGGTTTAGGGTTTAGGGTTTTAGGGTTTAGGGTTTAGGGCTTAATGTTGAGGGGGTGAGCATGATGGGTAGCATGGGGGCTTGGGATTGGCTCCAAGATAAGAGCCTTATGGCTAACTGTGACATGACTCTGTAAGTTGTTGCAGGGTTCTCATTATTGGGATTTTGCTCTCGCAAAATCCTTTTGTTGGCGTAGGATTTCTGAGACGTGGGGGCCGTAGTGGCTCGTAGGGTGGCTATTGGGGATTGTACAGGGCCGATCCTGAGAAATGCCCATGTAGAATTTGAGTGCTGCCGGACAGGAATCCCACAAGATCAGCTCGTGAATAATTGGGAGCCGGTGATGCAAAGATGGCATTGTAGATTACTATTCAGAGATCTGCGGAATCACCGCGTCGTGCTTTCTGCAGAGGATACGCTTGGAAAGAGTTTTGAAACTCCTTGGACCTACTTCTGCGACGACATCATTCGTCGGGAACCCAGTGCACCCCAAACCTTGTGGCAGCGGCAGCAAGCAAAAAGAAGGAATTGTAACAGCAACGGCTGGAGCAAGACCGAGGCAAACGAAGTAAGGTCAGCTTAGACCATGAGGCCTGGCACGCTTGAGGCGGAAAACCTGAAGCTAAAGACCTTGAGCTCCTGACCCTCCCAAGTCAGGGTTACCAGAACCAACTTTCAATTCTATTTTCTATTGTTATACCATTATCCTGTTTTTATTATTGTAGTATTATTACTATTTCTTTTTGAGCTGGCAACCTGTTCAAGACTTCTTTGGGATGATGACTAGAACTCTGAAGCTCAACGAAGTACCTGATCCCAGTCCCAGTTGGTTCAGACTGCACACTGGAATATTAGCAAAACTCGTTAGGGAGGTTGTATGTAGGGAGGTTATTTAGGGGATTGTAGGGGCTACTAAGGGGGCTACTAGGAGTTTAGACTATAGCTCATATGGAGATCACAATCCTGGAGGTAATCATCTTTGAATGGCATCCTGGTGGGCTGTGTCGATAAGGGTTTGGGGTTTGAATAGTAAAAGTGTCCAGCACAGTAATCGTAACAGTGATGGTAATAGTCGTGGTAATGGTAAGAATACAGTACTAACCGCAGCAATACTATGGATGAAGGAAATCTTGCACCACTTCATATACCCTATACCCCAAAATGGCAAGAGCATGGTGTCTGAAGGTGGTGCAAGATCCCTCCATCCATTGTCGAAATTAGTTTGTAGTGTCCCTAGAACCCTAGAACCCTAAACCTCTAAACCTCTAAACCTCTAAACCCCTACACCCTAAACCCTAAGCCCTAAACCCCTGAACCTCTAAACCCCTAAGCCCTGAGCCCTAAACCCCTGAGACTTCGCCGTGCTATGGAGAAAGGCCCGATAAACAAAACCCCTAAACCTCTAACCCCTCAACCCCTCAACCCCAAACCCCTAAACCCTAAACCCTAAACCCATAATAATTGGATGTTACCGGAAGTTGCGACCAGGAAGCGGTTGATGCCAGATCCATAGGCAAAGGCCCAGCCAAG